CCACTCAAACCCTAAACCCTAAACCGCTTACACTGCGCAATGGCAGATGTAGAGCTCAATAATAGTAATATAGGCCTTTCCAAATACCTATAGTATGTTGGGGGTTCCGTATTATACATACAATATATTGGGCCCCAAAACCCTATTCTTTTTTATTAAGGCCGCTGTAGTAGCGACATAGCAATACAGTAACAAAATTAAAAGAAATAAGGACACTAGTAAACTTAGTTACGATATTGGTAGTGCCAGTACACAAACCAGACCGATGTTCATAGAATCCTTCGCTGCAAGAGCTTCAAAGCCCTCAGCTTTAAACACTTGCGGCTGAGGACGGGCGGCAGCCCGGACAAAGATGGGATCACAAACTAGCACGGTTTTCGGTAAGCTTCAATCTCTTGGGGTTAAGGGCTGCGGGGGCTTGTGATTTATGGTCAAGGCTTTTGATATAAGGTTTCAAGTGCGGAAGTGACGGATAGTTTGAAGTACATGCGCTGTGCAAGGGAAGGTTGAAGCTACGGGGTCTGCAAATTCTGCATGACCCATGAGCTCACGGACGTGCAGGCTTCCCTGCATACTCTCAATCCTAGAGCCTTTTCATCGAGCCGCCGTGAAAAACACATATGCTTGGCTAACTGTTTTATAGATTCTAGACCAGCTTCAGTGTCGGACTACCAGGAAAGGGTTTCGGGTTCATTGTTCAAGGTGACCAGTCCGTGGCCATACCGAAAAAAAGTTTGGTACCTAACCAGCCTGGAGATTTATGGGGAAATGGTCCTTTTCTGTGGGATGAAGAACATGGTCTTCTGGGTTCGCCTTCTTCTTCACTACACTTCAACGACCATTTGATTCGTTTCCTTTGCTCCTTTAGCTGTAAACCGGGCAAGCTGCTTCCCCTCAATGCAACGCGCATAGTAGGCCATGCGTAGCGGGTTCTCGACATCTCGACACTGCCGGTGGCTGATGTTGAGCGCATAGACCTGACTCCATGCGCGCACCATTTACATGACTTGCAACTGGGGCTTAGGGTTTCGGGTACGGGTACGAAATGTCCGCAGATTCGAATGCCACTGCATGTGCAAGGCCAAGCAGAGCAAGACAGTATCTCTGCATCGACCCAATGTTTGGCTCTGCCTCTGTAGGTGCAGCATGCATGTACACAGAGATACATTCAGTATATGTGTATATATATATATATACACACACGCACACATGTATGTATGTATGCATGTATGCATGTATGCATATCTGCATGTCTGTATGTATGTGTATATGTATATGTAAATATGTTTATTATCCACGTGTAGTTATATGTATACACACAGAACGCGGCACTCTGTTTCTCTGTCTCTTTGTTTCCGTCTGAAGTTCAGTCGTTCGTTCTTTCGTTTTGTCGGTATGTCTTGATGTTTTAGTATGTTCTGATCGTCTTTCTGCGTTTCTACATACATGCATGCATGCCTACATATCGTTGCATACATTCATAATCTTACATACTTACACATTTCGTTGGATCATGCATGTCAATGTATATGCTCATTCAATTAGGATATTCACGAAGGTTTGTACACATACACAAAGACACAGGTGTATATATATATATATATACACGCACACACACCTGATGAACACATAAACACGTGCATAAACAAGTAAGCAAAATACATAAACATAAGTAAGAACACCCCTTAAACAACAAATGAACTATCTGTGCATATATTCATGTATAGCTGGCCGGATCTGTGCATGCTGCATCGTCTGCGTTTGTGTAAGCACACACACACATCGATCTGTGTGTACATATATGTATGCAAAATTCTAGATATGTATATATATATATATATGTACATATGCAAATACACACACACACACACACACACACACACACACACACACTTTTTTCCCCTACCTTCGTACATGTCGACAGTATTTTGCATGTTCACCCTAGCAAGACGGAGAAGCCGTTGTTTGTGACATCCACCAGTCAGGCAATCTGTCTTTTTGCATGCCTGGGACTACCACGTCATTCCAACAAATATGGTTACCTAGACCCTCCATCTACCCTCTAATTGACCCTAAATACCCTTAATTTGGGACCATATACCCCTATCTGAGGGTACAAGGAGGGTCCTGGTATTCATGCTTCCATATTATCCTTTGGCCGCTCTGAAGAACCCTGCACTGAGGCTCCGGCGCTAGACCGCACCGCTTCCGCAGGATGCAAGCACTCCGCGAAGGAGAGGGGAAGCGCGCAGAGCTCCTGCATACGGCGGCTTGGAGGCTTAAGGGTTTAGGGATTGGGTTTAAGGGTTTAGGTTTGGGGCTTTTTTTTGTTTAGGGTTTAAGGGGTTAGGGTTTAGGGGTTTAGGTTTAGGGCTCAAGGTTTGCATCCCATCCGAAAAATGAAAATGCAGCTGCCAGAAGCCGTTCGCATCTCGTGCTCAGCGGTCCTCTTAGCTTGCAGCTGGTATCTGCATATGTACATGCATTTATATCTATATTACATATATATATATATGCATATATATATATATATGCATATGAACTATAAATCTATGTACATATGATTGAAAAGCTATGTTTGTGTGTACATGCCGTATACATGTACATGTACAGCTGCATGTTAATGACTGTTAATGTTGTATACGTGGCAAACTGCTCCCACATGGGTGGTTGTCAAAATTATGATCCGCATCTTTTTTGCACCGAGGCCAGACATCAATCTATATGAGGAAGCTTCAGCATCCGTTGAGACACATGACGCACCCATCGGACCAG